ATGGCACTGACAAAAAAAACCCTAAACCCTGAATCGCGTATCCCCGTCCTTCGACTCTAAGTCAAAGTCAAAAAGCTCCCACTCCCGCTGGGCCCCTGTGGATCTCGCTGTTGTGTCTCGGGCAGTTAAGCTTGGGTGTTTGGGTTTGGGGTTTACGGGTTCTAGCTCTCAGGGTCTAGGTTTCAGGGAACAGGGGTTTAGGGTTTAGGTTTCAGGGAATAGGCTTTTGGGTTTTGGGTTTAGGGGTTTAGGGTGTGGCAAAACACCCTAAACCCTAAACCCTAAACCCTAAACCCTAAACCCTGCTTGTCCCGCCCCAGGTGTCCGGATAACGGTATCGACACTTGGCTTCTTCAGTCTGGCCGCGGTTGCTCATCAACCCCAGGCAGCCACCAATGATGCCCTAAACCCCGAGATTGTTGGGGTTTAGGGTTAAGGGTTCGACCCTAAACCCTAAACTTAATCCCTAAACCCTAACCTCTAAGCCCTAAACTTAAACCCTAAGCCCTAAACCCTAAGCAGATGCCCTAAACTCCGAATCCATGGCAAGGAGGCTCGGAAAAGCGCCAACGACCTGGCCGAGTAATATCGGAATCTAACGAAATGCATCGCTCGGAAACCCTTCAGGGTTTAGGGTTTAGGGTTTAGGGTTTAGGGGTTTAGGGTTTAGGGTTTAGGGTTTAGGGTTTAGGGTTGTTCAGCGGCTAGGTGCTAGAGTATAGACACTGATAATCATGGTCGACTATACCTGACTATAAGTTAGTTGGCACCTGAACCCCCTAAGCCCTAAACCCTAAAACCTATAGCCCACAGTATCGTTGACCGAAATTCTGGAGCCTAGGCCTTGCTAGTAGTCCAGAGACATAGCCACGGGAGGTAGGGTTTGAGGTTGAGGGTTTAGGGTTTAGGGTGCAAGGTTTGGCATTGAGGGTTTGGGTGGCTTGTGGACAATGAAATAATTCTGGCACTGACGGGGAAGATGCCACATCAGTACAGACTGTCGAGGGCTAGGTAGGCTGAGGCTGTAGGGGTCTACCTGTCGGCATAGGATTGCTTATATTCTTCAACGTTGTTCAACGTCGTTCAAGAGTTGGAGGTTTTATGGTTGAGTTTTGAGGGATCTTGCATGCGGTTAGAAATTTTCTGGTCCCAGGTCACAGGCTCTGTAGGGTCCACCCAAATTTGCTGGTGAGATCCGGCCCAGCGAATACCCCACCATACATTCCAAGGCGCAAAAGCCTTCATTCCGAAGCACCCGGCCAGCACCTCGAACAGACTGAAAAGGTTCCAACACACAAGCGCGCACACACACACACACAGTTCAACCCAACTTACAGCCTGCTCTGTCAAGGAGTGCCTACCAGACGGAGCCGGCTGCGTGTCTGATGCTGTTTCTCGTCGAAGTGATGATTTAATTCTCAGGGTTGCAGCCAGCTTAGGACCAAATCTGCGTGAACAACAGCCCGATTTAGGGCTGCCGAAAGCTTCATCACCAAAGTTTTTGTCTAGGATTGTAAACTCATGGGCTAAACGATGCTGCAATCATCCTCACGGCATGCGATCATCCTCACAGCGTTAGTAAGATTTCAGCATAATGATCCCCAAGAGCTTCATGAACGAGATGACAGTTTGTGTTGTCCTTGTCTGTTGTGCGTTGACGTTGGAGTTCAGGCGACTTGTCCTAGAGCTCAACTCGGACAGTGTGCTTGACGAAAACAGGCGTGACAGAATGGTCGGTAGTTTAGGCTCGACGCTACAGAGCATCGGTGTAGATATCGACCCTACTGGTCGAGCACAGCCACGAACGGTGTATGAAAGAGGGGTGACATGGAATTTGGCATATATGTCGATCTTCTGACGAATGCGGGTGAGTCCAACATAAGTGTCGGAATTGCTACTAAGATTACTCCTGTACACTCCCTACATATTAATAATACACAAAACCCAAAGCCTCGTTCTCGTTATTAGAGCAGATCGTCACAGAAATCGTTTACAATGTCCTTTCAACAACTTACTCTAGTTGTTAAGGTCGCTTGTAGCATCTCTGGGCTATTGCTCGGGGATGGGAACACTGAAACAACAGGCCCGAAGCCGGGTTTAGAGGGCTCGGGGTTTAGGGTTTAGGGGGTCCTTGGGCTCTTGGTGTTTAGCACCATTTCATCAGTCGGATGATCACACCACGTGTGCGAGTGACGCTTATGGGAGAAGTTCCTGTTGACAGGGTGGGGGGTAGCGGGTAGATAGGTTAGAAATGACATTATCATAACTGCTGTAGGACCGACTCGGATATTGGTAAACTAGGCTAGTGGGAGACCCTGAAAAGCCCTAAGTGCGTGAAGCTTGGCTTTGAGCCC